TCGCAGGGAGGAGCGCGAGTCGTGGATCCGTGCCAAATATGAGCAGCTGCTGTTCCTGGCGCCGCTGGGCAGCACCGAGGAGCCTCTCGGCCACCAGCTGTGGGCCGCGGTGCAAGCCCAGGACGTGGCCGCTGTTCTCCTGCTTCTGGCCCACGCGCGGCACGGGCCGCTGGACACCAGCGCAGAGGACCCGCAACTCCGCTCCCCACTCCACCTAGCGGCCGAGCTCGCCCACGTGGTCATCACGCAGCTGCTGCTCTGGGTACGTGAGTGGGGGTGGGGTCCCAGGAGCTCGGCAGGGCCCTCAGTTCCCAGCGGGCACCTACCTGGACGTGGGTCCAGTGCGGGGCAGCCGCTGGGGGCACACGGTCATGCGACCGTTCCTGTCCCCTAGTACGGCGCCGACGTGGCAGCCCGCGACGCGCAGGGCCGCACGGCGCTGTTCTACGCCCGCCAGGCCGGCAGTCAGCTGTGCGCCGACATCCTCCTGCAGCACGGCTGCCCCGGCGAGGGAGGCAGCGCGGCCACCACGCCCAGCGCGGCCACCACGCCTAGCCTCGCCGCCACGCCCAGCCCCCGCCGCCGGAGCAGCGCCGCCAGCGTGGGTCGCGTGGACGCCCCGGTCGCGCTGGTATAGTTGCCCGGCGGGAGAGACCCCACCCCCAGGCGGGCCGGGCACGACCACACCGGGTGGACCGCCGGACAGATGCACCCACTCACCTCTCCCCGCCCCACGGGAGCACTTCCTACCCCCACGAGGGCACAGCCCCCACGCCTCCCGGAAGACACAAACTCACCCCCTCTCCCCACCGAGGCATGGAGACCCCCGCTCCACACGCCCCCTCTCCACTGTTCCCACCCTCGGATCGCTCTGGGTCCCCCCCACCCCCACCTCGCTCGGTGTTTGCAGAAGGGGACGCCCCGCCGGGGCCGGGGCTCGCCGGCGCTGGGACGGGCCCGCTCGCGCCCCCTCGCGGCGTCGAGGAGACCCGGGCCTGCCAGCTGGCTCCGCGACCCCGCAGCGGCAGCCCATTCCCAGGCTGGCTCCTGGGGCGACGCCACACCGGAGGGAGGGGTTGGCCTTGGGACTTGGGCCACTACGGGGACCCCGCGCCTTCCACGCTGATCTCACTGCCCAGCGAAGGAGGGAAGGGCAGCGAGGGGCAGGACCCCTGCTGCCTATGGCGGTGGGGGGGTCCCCAACCCTTTCCGTGAAAGGGACCATGAGGAGTGGATAGCAGGACGCACATCCCCCACCCCCACAAACACACATGCGCACACGCACGCACGCACGCCCACCCAGGGATGGAAGCTAGAGAGTGGGGTGGGGGGCGAGCCAAGAGCCTGGGTGTCTCCTCGCTGCTACCTTGGGAGGGAGAAGGGATGAGGCAGGAGGGGGCTAAGGGGGCTGGGGCGGGGCCTTGTAATTTATTGCTCTGTTCCCCAACTTGGGGACGGGGGCGGGCAGGGGCGTGGGGAGGGCGTTCCGGGGTAGGGGAGCCAAGGGTGGGCAGGGGGTGGGATGGGGTGGGGGTGCTCTCGGGTTGTGAGTGTCTGTGACCGTGACTGCGTACCTGTGACTGTGCAGCGCCCGTGGTGATCTGGGGTAGGGGGCACCTCTACAGTGGGACCCCTCCCCCTTTACTCTTCCTGTCCAGCCCCTCCCTCCCACTGGAGCAGACCCATCCTTCAATCCCATGATCCCTCCCAGCCAGGGCTGAGAGGGTGTGAGAGAGGCAGCAGGGTTTCCGGGCCCCCTGCCCTGTCCAGGGAAAGGGGGTGGTACCTGGACTTACCTGGCCCAGCCCCGCCTCCCTCAATCAACCCAGCCCTTGGCCGTCTGTGTCAGTGGTTTCCAGTCTTTTTTCTTTCTTTCTTTCTTTTTCTGGCTAAAATATTTTGCAAAGGACCAGGTAATTTTGGGAGGGGACTCGGGTGGGGGCAGGGGGGGAATGCCCCCTCTTCTCCTTGGAGGCAGGTGGTGTGAATCTTCTTCAACAGCAATTAAAGAGAAAGTGATTTTGTCTAGGGGGTGAGCTGCTGGTCTGTTCTTGCAGAGGCAGGTCAGGGTGTGGCCTTGCTCCGGGTGGGGTGCTGGGAGTGTCAGGGGTGCCTCCTGCTGGGGCTGGTGGGCATGGAGGTGGACTCTGGCAGGGGAAGCAGGGGGACCGGTGGGTGCGATGGTGGGGCTGGTGGGCACTGAGAAGTCACTGCCAGCCAGGATGACACCAGTTCTGGGAAGGAGTGGGATGTGGTGCTGAGTAGAGGATGTGGTGCCCGTGCAGGGAAATGAGAAGATGGGTGGTTTTGGTTAAGGGCAGGAGGAGTCTTGCTGAAACCTAGCCCTCTACTTCATAGCCAGGGGACCTTGGGCAGTGAGGAGGGTGGGATCTGTTTGTTTATAATCTGGGCAGTGTCCTCAGGGCACCTGGTAAGTGCTCCCCCCAGGGGCTGTGATCTGGATCCCGAGGTACCGCAGTAGAGCTAACAATTGGGGGGGCCTTCTAGGAGCCTTGCTCAGGGGGCACTTGGAGGGGAAGGAGTAGGTTTCCAGGACAAGATGTGCTGCTGTCGGCCAAGGTCTCTGGTGTCCGCATCCCCCTTGCTGGTTGATGCAGCCCATTTGCCCACCTGAATGTCATCCATAGGACCACCAAGGCCACAGCAGCCTACGGCTTCCAGCACCTAAGCTCAGCATGCAGCCGGGTCCCCGTGTGTATGCAGCTGAACGGGGCTGGATGGGGCAGGGCGGGGCCAGCAGCCAGTGCGGATTTGGCCTGGCCACCGCGTGTTGCTGTCTGCCTTGAGGAATCCTTGGTGGCACCAGCTTCTTTGGTTAGGGTTGGTTCCAATCCTCAGCATCACCCAGCCTCAAGGTGTTCAGCTGCAGGTGTGCCACTGTGCTGACAAACAAGATGTGGGTGCAGGGCCACACCCAGGTCTGATCACATGGAAGCTGCTGCCCTGCAGAGTCCTGGGCTGGGTGACACTCGGCCACAGCCATGGGACCCAGAAAAGGTGGATTCCAGGGTGCAGGAACTGTGATGGGAACAGTGCAGATGTGTGGCCTGGCCAGAGCAGAGGAAGAGGGCGAAGTGGTACAGGTGATGTCAGAAGGACCTGCCGTTCCCCCTTGGGTTCCGAGACAGATTCTGGACTGCCCCACTGCACCTCCAGTCTCCTTCCTCCCGGCCAAAGCTGTTAGGGGTGAGACAACGTGGGAAACAAGGACGCTGGAGAAAATGGCATTAGCTGGGAATGAAACCACAGGCCAGTGAGAAGGCTCCTTTAATTCTTGGCCCATGAAAAATGGTCAAGGTGCCAGCGAACCCCCCCAGCAGATCCCAACACTCAGTGATCCACTGGGTTCCTTTTTTCAGTGGGCTGCCACTCTGGCCCTGTGTGGAGATGCGGTAACAAAACATTAAGCCCTCCAGGTTACAGCAGGTCGGGTCCTAGAAGGGGACTCCCCTGGTGGTAGAGCTGCTGCCCCTCCCTCTGTGCCAGCTTCATGGCTCACCTGGGTTTCCTCGCTTGGGTTCCTGGTGCGTCTGCCAAGCCTGTCCCCACCCCCTGGTGGCCATCTGCCACACACCCTGCTCCCCTCCTCTTGTGTGCTATAGCACAGCTGGGACAGAAACACCTCCACAGGAGTCTTGCCAAAAGCCAAGGAGAGTAAAAAGGGATTTCTTATCCAAAATACAGTGATGTTTCTCATTTCCTGAATTCAGCTTTCCTGATGATACCGAGGGCCACCCTGCCCCAGCCATTCCCCACTCACATTTGCAAAAGATTTTATTGGGGGGCCTGGTGCCGTGGCTCACTTGGTTAATCCTCCGCCTACGGCGCCAGCATCCCATATGGGTGCCGGGTTCTAGTCCTGGTTGCTCCTCTTCCAGTCCAGCTCTCTGCTGTGGCCTGGGAAGGCAGTGGAGGATGGCCCAGGTGCTTGGGCCCCTGCACCCACATGGGAGACCAGGAAGAAGCACCTGGCTCCTGGCTTCGGATCAGTGCAGCACCAGCCATAGCGGCCATTTGTGGAGTGAACCAATGGAAAGAAGACCTTTCTCTCTCTCTCTCTCTCTCTCTGTAGCTCTACCTGTCAAATAAGTAAATAAAAATCTAAAAAAATATAGATTTTGTTGGACCACCCCTCTACGACTCCAGGTAACCCAGTGTCTCCAGAACCAGGGCCGGCTCAGAGTAACAACAGAAGTTCAAAAGCACTTCCTGTGCACCAGGCCCTGAGCTGAGAGCATGGCGTATACCACAGTCCTCACGACCCCCCTTCAAGGCCACTCCTGCCATCCAGAAGCAGCCCACCCGGAAGCAGCATTTGTAGTAAGAGAACTCCCGCACGGCCCCACTGATGGCAGGTGGGGGCGGGGATGTGAGGAGCTGACCCCAGCTGCTGCCTTCATGGCAATTTCTCAAGCATCCCTCTCTCCAGACACACGAGGGACCTGCAGGGTGTAGGTGTTTGCCTGTTTCTGTCTCAAAATAGTACGGTTTAGGCCCTGGAGGGCCAGGCCAGCCCCACGCACATCCGTCAACAGCGGTTGGATCCTTCTCTGCACTCCTGGAGCCTGGGACCCGTGGCCCCTGACCCTTCTATCTTACGAGCAGAAAGCCCGTGCCCCTTGGGTGCAGGGCGTGGGGGTGCAGGAAGAGCGCCTCTGCAGGGGGATGACCCCAGTGGGCGGGCTGTGGCGCATTTGGATAGGGTGTGAAGGAGGGAACTGGTGCTGAGGATGGGAAGGTACAACGGGAGAGCCAGGCAGGGAGTGTTTCGGTCCTTGCCGGGCCAGTCGGCTTTGCTGGACCATCCTGGCCCCTTCTGCAACACCCCAGTCCCCGCTGATAGCACCTGGGAGGTGTGGGGTAAGGGCCAGCTGCAGAGAACAATGGCGCCCTCCACCCTGGAACCATCAGCGCGCAGTCTCCCCACCTGAGTCCCTGCCTTAGCTCCCCTCCACCCAAAACACCCTGCTTGGGTGGGCTGATGGTCCAGTTCTTTATTTAGAAACCTGATTGTTCAAAAAAACATGGTGGTTCTGCGCCCACCCTTTTCTTGGCTGGAATTGTGCTGGGGGAGACGGGCAGCGTTCTCCGCTTTCGGGCGACAGAGGTGAAGGTTCCCCACCTTGGAAGGGCCAGCGGGAGGGGCCGTGTGGCCAGGAAAGGGAGAGGAGCCTCCCGAGGCCCCCAGGGGGAGGGGGAACAGTAACCCCCTGGCAGTGGGGCAGGGGCCTGCTGAGCCCACTGCGCGCGCCTCCCTGCAGTTCAGGGCCCATACCAGGGAGGGCCAAGGACAGGAAGGGGATGCCGGGAAAGTCTGGGAGGGCAAAGACCATGGGCAGCACACAGCCCACAGCCCTCCACGCCCTGAGCTGGGGCCCGCAAAGTCCACAGCTCGGCGCCCTCTGCTGTTGTGCCCTCAAGGGCCCCAGGGGTAGGGGAAGGCTCCAGATTCCCAGGGGGCCTTGCGGCGGCGGTCTCAGAAGTCGAACTCATCCAGGTCCCCGGTGCCCTCGCCGCCTCGGGAGCCCCACACCCGGCGGTAGTTGCTCTCCAGCTCCTTCTGCCGCTGCCGCTCTTTGTGCGCCTCTTCTGCTCCCTGCACCTGCGGGAGGGCTGGGTGTGAGCTGGGGGACACCCCGGAGTCCTGGCCGGCCTGCAGCAGAGGCAGGGAGCCGTGCGCGGGGCAGGCTGCCACCCGCCCAAGCGGGCAGCAGGACCACACTGTCCACGGTACCGCGTGCCAGGGGGGCAGCAGCAGGGTATATGTGTGTGGTATGTGGTGTGGTGTGTGTGTGGCGGTAGTGTGTGTATGTGTGGTGTGGTATGTGTGTGTGGTGTGGTGTGTGTGTGTATGTGTGGTGTAGTGTTGGTGTGTGTGGTGTGTGTGTGTGTGTGGCATGGTGTGCTTGTGTGTGGTGTGTGTATGTGTGGTGTGGTGGTTGGTGTGTGTGTATGTGTAGTGTGGTGGTGGTGTATGTATGTGTGGTAGTGGTATGTGTGCTTGTGTGTGTGTGTGTGGCGTGTGTGTGTGTGGTGTTTGTGTGTGTGTGGCATGTGTGTGTGTGGTGGTATGTATGTTTTGTGTGTGTGGCGTGTGTATGTGTGGTGTGCTTGTGTGTGTGGTGGTATGTGTGCTTGTGTGTGTGTGTGGCGTGTGTGTGTATGTGTGGTGTGGGGTGTGTGTGTGTGGTGGTATGTGTGCTTATGTGTGTGTGTATGTGTGGTGTGGTGTGTGTGTGTGCTTGTGTGTGTGTGTGGCATGTGTGTGTGTGGTGGTATGTATGCTTGTGTGTGTGTGTGGCATGTGTGGGTGGTGGTGGTATGTGTGCTTGTGTGTGTGTGTGGCGTGTGTGTGTGTGTATGTGTGGTATGGTGTGTGTGTGTGGTGGTGGTGGCATGGTGTGCTTGTGTGTGTGTGTGTGTGTGTGTGTAAAGGCCAGGACTCAGGACTCCACGGGTAGGACACCCCTCACCAAGATGTTGAAGAAAATCTCCTTGAGGTTTTTCGTGTCCTCGTCGGTCAGCCAGCGCGCGTCCTCCTCCGCGCCTTCAGCCCCCGGCCGGACGATTTTGATCTCGATCTTCCCTGGGAAGGAGCGGAGCGGGCCGTGAGAGGCCGGGTGGCCCGGGCCTTGTGCGGGCAAGCCCTTGCAGCAGCTGGCGCCCGCCGCCCCAGGGCCCACCTTCCGCCGGGAGTCCCTCCCTCTCCAGCAGCTCCTTCACCAGCCCCTCGATTTGTTTCAGCTGCGGGTTTTCCCGTTTCATCTCGAGGACAGTCAGATCCCGATTGGGGCCTCCGTGACGGAGCTTGGTGACCCGGACCCGGACTCTGTGCTCAGGATCCTCCTCTTAGAGGGCGACACACACAGGGAGACAAAGCAGGGCCGTGACTCCAGGGTGCGGGGCCGCGGTGCTGACCTCTCCCTAGGCCCTCGGTGGGCCTGCGGGCTCGATTCCACTAAACGTGGAGCTGAGCCGGGGCTGCCTCCCTGCGCCGGCCTACACAACTCCTTCTCCCCACGCCCCCCCCAGTAATCCTGCCCATCACCTGTAGGGAAACAACTGGGCTTCCCAAAGCTAAGATCGGGCCACCTGCACCAACAGAGGTGGGTTTAAGAAGCAGGCTGGGAAGCTGGCGTGGTGCTCCACACGCTGGTACTTCAAAGGAACCTCAGTATTCACGGAGCGGATGGAGGCTCTGAGACCGGGGTGATGCACCTGCAATGGCTGGTGGCCACGCCCACAGGGGAGGCCAGGAGGAGGGGTGCAGTGTGGGGGCATCCTTCATGGATGTGGTCTCACACTCACTCAATTCCTGCCTGCCGATCACAAGGCGCCCAGCGTGGGCCCGGGCACTGAGCGAGCACACAGGAGCAAACCAGAAAGGCAGACACACGCGCTCTCCCACTGCTTTCCGAAAGGATGACGGGAGGTAACCGAGCGGGAGGGCAGCGGGGCGAACAGCGTTCCTGAGGGCAGCTAGAGGCTGAGTGCCCCAGGGGGGAGGCGCATGGCGCCCCAGGCCGGGCAGCGGGCCGCGGGCCTCTCTTACCTGCAGGCTGCGGCGAAGGGGGCGGCTTTCTGGCGACCACCTTCCTCCTCCTGTGCTTCGTCAGCAGCTCTGGGCTCTGCTTCTCCTCCAGCCTTTTGATGAGCTTGCTGAGAGTGGACGTCAGAGCCAGCATGGCTCGATCGCGCTCCGACTCCTTCTTCAGCCCATCAGGGTCCAGCTCCTTCTCTGTCTGGAACGTCCAGCAGGGGTGGCGAGTCGAGGCCAGCAGGCCACAGCCCGTCAGAGTCCAACACCGAGTGGCACCCCTGTCCCCGACCCGCCCTGCGGCCCCCAGCCTGGGCGGTGCCGCGGGGCCGGCGGAGCGAGGCCTACCTCCTGGATGATGCTGTCCAGCTCCCGCTCCATGCCTGCCTTCACCTCGGCGCGGAGCCGCTCTCGGTCGGATGGGAGCAGGATCCCTTCCAGCTCCTTCTCAAACTCCCCCAGAAGCTGCCGCTCGTCCTCGTCCTCGTCCTCATCCCCGTCGTCCTCTTCTCCCACCTCACCCGGAGGGTCCGCATCACCCTTGTCCTTCCCCTCCGGTTCCCTCTGAGCGCCTTCTGGGGCGTCCTCGTCAGGCTGCTCTTGGGCTGTGTTTGGCTTCCCCTGGGAGGAGGAGGGGGGAAGCGGTCAGGGTTTCCTGAGATGTCCGAGGGGCCAGGCGTGGTGGCTGCAGCAGGGGGACCCGGGGGGCATGAAGGGCGCCAGTTGGCTCTTCAGGGTCCGACTCAGGCCCAGGTCAGGGCTGGCTTTTCAGATGCCCCCAGCCAGGAGGCGGGTTCCACCCCTCCCTGAGCGGGGACCACACCTTTTTCGTTCCACCTTTCAGCTCCTCTATCAAGCGAATCAAGTCCGCAGGACTCCGAATGACCTTGACCTGCACGTTGTTCTGAAAATCTGAGATGAAAGGAAAGGCATGGGCTTGTTGTGTCATAAATTCACTTCTGACTTCTAAGGAGAAGGCCAAGGAAGGACCTGGCTCCTGTGTCCACAAGTCTGTGTGGTACAGGAGCCGGGGGGAAACACCCCCCCCACACACACACTTTCCAGGGAGCACTGGGTCCCAGGACGCGCAGGCAAAGCGGGTGTGAACCTTCCCCAGCGCATTGCACACTTCAGGGCCTCTTGGCCAGGACTCCAGGCTTCAGGGGCCCACAGCAGCTCTTCCCTGGCTCCTGTCCTTTCCTTCCCATAAACCTTGGCCATCGCTTGTCTACTCGCTTCTGGGCACCCTGCTCCAGTCACTGATTTGTTCCCGTTTAATCTCCCCACAAGCCTGGACAGTGGGCTTTCTAAGCCACACTTGGTGAATACAGAAATGGAGGTGAAGTGAAAGTGGCCAGGGCTACAGAGTCAGCAGGTGATGGAGCCGCTAAGTTCGGCTACCTCCCCAAAGAGCACTATTGTCTACCTAATGGTATTACCTGGAGGGCAAAGTGGATTTGCCGCTGGTCTGGCTGCCCGGCCTCCCTCCTGGTTCACCTCCACCCTGCACCCACACCACTGCCAGCCCCCAGATACACTGAAGCAGAAAGTTAGGGAGACAGGAAGGTGCGCCTCACCGCTGGGAGGGCCTGGAGCCGCGTCTGCTGCCTCCGGATTCAGGTCCTGCTCCTGACGGGGAGCAAAGAGCAGAGTCAAGTACAAAGGCTGATGCGTGCCCACCGTGCTCTCCAGGCAGTGGTTCTGGGGATGTCCTTGCATCCCCAGGGACAACTCAGCTTGAGCGACCCCCCTTCCCAAAGCCCAGCTCCAGCCTCAGCAGAGGGGAGGGGGCTGGGGAGCTGGCTCACACCTCCGCCTCTGCCTCCTCCCCTCTGGGGGCCTGCTCCTCTGGCTCGTGAAGCATCTTCCAGAAATCAGCTTCCTTACTGTCGTCCTTGGCTGGGCTCGCACCTGGGGTACAGAGAACGGGGGGAATCTGAAAGGAGGGGAGAAAGGACGGGAGCAAACAGGACAGGGGACACGCCCCTCTGTTCCCAAGGGTCCCTGGCACTGTTCCGGCCCGCCCCATCAACCAGCACAGGGCACTACGGAGAGTGAAGGTCAAGCCCAGTCCTACCTGCTCTCTTTGGGGGTACTGCCCCAGGCTTGGCCTCACTCCACATTTGGGGCTCTAGGTCTTGCACCTCCTCTGTGACTTTATTTTCATCCTGCTTTGAGTCTGTGGACAAACAGCACACGGGCAGCATACAGACCGGTTCCTCTGGGCAATTCCACTCTATCGTCTACTTGCCCCCCCCCATATGTCCCCTTCCTCTCCTCCCTCTTCTGGGTGCTCACCGTCTTGCCTCTGCATGTAGGCCAGGTACTCCTCGGGCTGCAGGGAAGGGTGGCAGAGGATAGCCTGCGGAGCAGCACTGGGCGGGGGCCGGAGGAGAGGGTGGGGGCAGAGCCGGGGGGTCCGAATGGTCAGCACATAAGAGCAGGACAGGGGCTCGTCCACGCGGTCAATGTAGTCCCCGGAAATGCCTGCACTATCATCACAGAGGAACTGCCGGGACACAAAGGTTGAGGGGCTCGTGATGGCCCCCAGCACCTGGCGTGCGCTCTGAGAGCGGGTATGTTTCATAAAGCATGGCTTATGTGCCAGGCACTGTGCGCGTCCAGAAAATATGGGGCTTTGCAATTAATTATCACAAAAACCCAAGGAGGGAGAGACTAAGTGTCTCAACTGTGTGGCTCAAGGAACGCAGGTCCAGTGCAGTGAAAGCACTTGTTCAGGCTGGCTACTGGTAAGGGGTAAAAATGGGAAACGAACTCAGGCAGCTCCACTTCCGATCCAGCTATCTGCTGTGGCCTGGGAAAGCAGCAGAGGATGGCCCAAGTGCTTGGGCCCTGCACCCACATGGGAGACCTGTAGGAAACTTCTGGCTCCTGGCTTTGGATCGGCTCAGCTCCGGCTGTTGCAGCCATTTGGAGTTTACCAGAGGATGGAAGATCTCTCTCCCTCTGTCTTTCCTTCTCTCTCTCTCCCTCTGTAACTCTTTCAAATAAGTAAATAAATCTTTAAAAAAAAAAAAAAAAAGGGAGAGAGCCTGGAACTCCACTTAGGTCTATGGACAAGGACCCAAGCACTTGGCCCATCTTCTGTTGCCTTCCCAGGCACATTAGCAGAGAGCTGGATTGGACGTGGAGCAGCCAGGGCTCAACCCGGCACTCTGATATGGGACACCAATGTTGCAGGCAGTGGCTCAACTTGCTGTACCACATAGCCAGCCCTTAAGAGCTGATCTTTTGAAAAGATCAACAAAGGGATTAAAGCATTTGCCAGACTGACCAAGGAAACAACAGAGAAGACTTAAATTAATGCAATCAGGAAAGAAAGAGGGAATGTTACTACCAACACTACAGAAATAAAAAGGATTGTAAAGGAATACTAGGAACATTTACATGCCAACATGTCAGATAAGTTCAACAAAACAGATAAATTCCTAAACTACCAAAACTGAAGCAAAAAGGAAAGAGATAGACTAGTAATTAAAAAATCACCCACTCAGAAAAGTCTGGGCGGATGGGTTCACAGGTGAATTCTATCGACCGTTAAAATACAATAAATTTCTTCACAAGCTCATTTAAAAAACAGGAGAGTCTCTCCAATTCATTCTAGGAAGTCAGTAGTATTCGCCTGATACCAAATGCACAAAAAGACATCCTAAGAAAAGAAAACCCCTTTTGAGTTCAGATTCCAAAACTCTCCACAAAATACTAGTCAACCAAACTCAGCAGTATATAAAAAGAATTATATGCCGGGGCCGGTGCTATGGCAAACAGGTAAAGCTGCCACCTGCAGTGCCTTCGTCCCATATGGGCGCCAGTTCGAGTCCCGACTGCTCCACTTCCGATCCAGCTCTCTGCTAATGGCCTGGGAAAGCAACAGAAGATGGGCCAAGTCCTTTGACCCCTGTACTAACATGGGAGACTTGGAAGATACTCCTGGCTCCTGGCTTCAGGTCAGTGCAGCTCTGGCCACTGCAGGCATCTGGGAGTGAACCAGCAGATGGAAGACCTCTCTCTCTCTCTCTCTGTCTCTCTCTCTGCCTCTCTGTATCTTTGCCTTTCAGATAACATAAATAAATTTTAAAAAGAGGTAGAATTATACGCCATAACCAAATGGAATTTATACAAGCAGTGTGGGTTGGGTTAACATAAAAATAAATACACAGTATCAATACATGTATAGGAGAGTCTAACCAAGGCAGTTAGGTAAGAAAAGAAGGTAAAAGTCATATAGACTGGTAAGGAAAAATGTAAAACAATCTATTTGCAAATGACCTGATCTTGTATATAGAAAATCCTAAATAATCCACTAAAATAGGAGTTGGAATTAATAAATAAGCTCAACAAGTTTCAATATTCAGGAATCAATTGTTTATATACTTGCAATAAAAACATCCCAAAGTGGAATTTTTAAAAATTCCACTTGGAATAGAATCAACAAGAATAACTAGGAAACACGGTCGGCACTGTGGTGTAGCAGGTAAAGCCACTGCCTGCAGGGCTGGTATCCCATATGGGCGCTGGTTTGAGTTCTGGCTGCTCCATTTCTGATCCAGCTCTCTGCCAGTGAGTCTGGGAAAGCAGTGGAAGATGGCCCAAGTGCTTGGGCCCCTGCACTCACGTGGGAGACCCAGAAAAAGTTCCTGGCCCCTGGTTTCAGATCCACCCAGCTCTGGCCATTGAGACCATTTGTGGAGTGAACAAATGGATGGAAGATTTTTCTCTCTCTCTCTCTCTAATTCTGCCTTTCACATAAAAAAAAATTTTTTTTTTTTGACAGGCAGAGTGGACAGTGAGAGAGAGAGACAGAGAGAAAGGTCTTCCTTTGCCGTTGGTTTACCCTCCAATGGCTGCCGCGGCGGGCGCGCTGTGGTCAGTGCACCGCGCTGATCCGATGGCAGGAGCCAGGTACTTCTCCTGGTCTCCCATGGGGTGCAGGGCCTAAGTACTTGGGCCATCCTCCACTGCACTCCCTGGCCACAGCAGAGCTGGCCTGGAAGAGGGGCAACTGGGACAGAATCTGGTGCCCCGACCGGGACTAGAACCCGGTGTGCCAGCACCGCAAGGCGGAGGATTAGCCTAGTGAGCCGTGGCGCCGGCCTAAATCAATTTTTTTAAACCTGCTGTGCCACAGGAATGGCCTCAAGACTTGTCATTATATACTTTTAATACTTTTTGAGTTTTATATTATGGGACAGAATTATCTATTTAATAATTAGGAATTTAAAATACCCATAGAAACCTAGTAAGATACATAAATAGCATTTGTAGAGAAAATTTTTATGAGATGTATTACTGAAAATGAATGAACCAGGAGTTCATTTCAAGGAGTTGAATAAAGAACAGCAAAATAAGTTCAAAAAAGTAGAAGGTAGGAAAATAAAGATGAGAGTGGAAATTAATAACATGGAAAACAAATACAGTAGATACGTTCAACAGAATCAATAGTTGGTTCCCTGAAAAGGCTGACAGAAGTGAGCCTCTGGTGAGGCTGACAAGTAGCAAAGGGTGAAGGCAAAAGCAACCCAGGGAGAATGAAGAAAGAAACCTAATTAAAGATGCTACAGGAATTTGACTTTACAGGTGAATTCCAGCAAACATTCATGGAATAAAAAATTCAAATCGGGTGCAGTCATTAGGCAGAGCCATTAAGTTGTCACATGAGACACCTGCATCCCTGTCAGAGTACCTGGGGTGAGTCCCTGCTCCTCTGTGTCACAGCAGGTGATAGCTTAACTGCTGGGGTCCCTGCCACCCTCGTGGGAGACCTGGATTGACTTTTGGGCTCCTTGCCTCAGCCTGGCCCAGCCCTGCTGTTGTGGCTATTTGGGGAATAAACCAGTGGAAGAAAGATCTCTCTGTGTTGGTCTCTCTGACTTTCCAATAAAATTAAATAAATAATTTTTTTTAATTCAAATCTCCCAAGTATAAAAAAAGTGAGAGCATTTTTAACTTACATTTTGAGACTAGCTAACCCTGTTCACAAAAACATTATAAGGACAGTACTAGAAAAAAAAAGTACATGTCAATATCTTTCATGAATAGGTACACAAAAGTCCTTCAAAAAAATTAACAAATTGAATCCAGCAAGATCCAGAAAGGGCAGTCAAGAGCAACGTATCTGATCAATTTAGGCCCTCCTCAGGCAGGCAAGTTTGGTTCAGTCTTTGAAAACCTAAAAATTATTTTATTTCAAATTAAATATAGCCTTAAAACATATGCAGGAGAAATGTGCAATATTACAAAATCCACCATCACAGTGGGAATTTTAACAGACCTCTTTTTTTTTTTTTTAAGATTTTATTTATTATTTGAGAGGTAGTTATAGACAATGAGAGGGAGAGACAGAGAGGAAGGTCTTCCATCTGCTGGTTCACTCCCCAAATGGCCGGAACTGCACCGATCTGAAGCCAGGAGCCAGGTGCTTCTTCCTGGTCTCCCATGCGGGTTTCCCAGGCCACAGCAGAGAGCTGGATTGGAAGAGGAGCAGCTGGGACTAGAACTGGCGCACATATGGGATGCTGGTGCTGCAGGTGGAAGATTAACCTACTGCGCTACAGTGCCAGCCCCAACACACCTCTTTCAATAATCACTGGTCCATAATTATGGCCAGTGCTGTGGTATAGTAGATTAAGCCTCAACTTTCGGCGCCAGCTCCCCATATGGGCGCCGGTGCTGTGGCACAGCAGGTTAACACCCTGGTCTGAAGCGCCGGCATCCCATATGGGTGCAGTTCAAGACCTGGCTGCTCCTCTTCCAATCCAGCTCTCTGCTATCACCTGGAAAAGCAGTAGAAGATGGCCCAAGTCCTTGGGCTCCTGCACCCACGTGGGAGACCTGGAATAAGCTCCTGGCTCCTGACTTTGGATAGGTGCAGCTCCAGCTGTTGCAGCCATTTGGGGAGTGAACCATCGAATGGAAGACCTTGTTCTCTCTCTCCTCTCTTTGTGTAATTCTGACTTTCAAATAAATAAATAAATCTTAAAAAATAAAAAATTTTTTAAATTTTATTTATTTGAAAGACAGTTACAATGAGAGGTAGAGACAGAAACAGAGAGAGGTCTTCCATCCGTGGTTCACTGACCAGGTGGCCACAATGGCCGGATCTGTGCCGATGCAAAGCCAGGAGCCAGGAGCTTCTTCTGGGCCTCCCACATAGGTGCAGGGGCCCAAGCACTTGGGCCATCTTCTACTGCTTTCCTAGGTACAATTTCAGGGAGCTGAGTCAGAAATGGAGCAGCTGGGACAGGAACCAGCGCCCATATGGGATGCCAGCACTTCAGGCCAGGGCTTTAACCCGCTGCACCACAGCGCTGGCCCCTGCTACTTCAGTTCTGATCCAGCTCTCTGCTAATGGCCTGGGAAAGTGGTGGAAGATGGCCCAAGTGCTTAGGCCCCTGCACCCACATGGGAGACCTGGATGAAGCTCCTGGCCCCTGGGTTCAGATCATCCTGGTTCTGGCCATTGCAGCCATTTGGCGAGTGAGCCAGCGA